AATGGAATAGTTTAGGTTAGATGGGCTTCAGATTGGTTTCACAGGTCAGCGCAACATCGAGGGCCGAAGGGCCTGTACTGCGCTGTAATGATCTATGTTCTATGTCCCAGGACAGGGGCAGCACGGGGTTAGATACACAAAGCCAAGCTCCCTCAACTTTTTTTTTTCCAAACTGAAGATAAAGTCTCCTCTACCTTTCAAACTGAATGTAAAACAATCTCTATTCGTTTAAACCAAAATTAAAGCTCCCTCTACACTGTCCCCACACACTGAGGTCAGGGACAACACAGGATTAGATAGAGTAAAGCTCACTCTACACCGTCCCCATCAAACACTCCTAACTCGGGGTCAGACTTACCCTGCATTGTTACTGACAACTGTGATGCCCTTGACTCCAGTCTTCAATAAAGCATTGATCAGGTTCTCGGGGATGCCACATAATCCGAAACCTAACAAGAGTGAAGCAGGGAAGGAAGACAAGGCAAGTGAGTACTCAATATATAATGGTACACCAAGGCTTGAGGGGTGCACTGTGACAGAGGTGCTACGCCCCCCAACAGGTCACAACATTCACAGAAAAAATACTCCCTTTTCTGAAACAACCTTCTTGTTGGGTTCAGGGTGAAATCGATTGGTTGTTTTAAAAGAATAAACAAAAAGGAATTTCCCAAATGTCTTGTTTCCTGAACTAGCTGTGTGCAGGAATTCCAAACCATGTACGATTAGTGACTTGAGCAGAGTATCAGAGCAATAAATTCCAGAACATCCTACACTTCATCTTTTTGTCTACAGTGGCCCTTTCACTAAAGCACTTTCCCCATCAAGTCGTCTCCGCTGAGGAATATTTTCCCAGTTACCTAGGTGACCACTCAAATGCATTCCTAGACAATAGAAAACTTATTCTAGAAAAGCTACAATAACATGCTAACACACACACACACACACACACACACACACACACACACAGTCAGCAAAAAAAAAAAAAACCGCTAAAAAAAAATCCACACAACATACACAGAACAGAAGAAAAGGGAAAAAAGATATTATGTCTCCGCAGCAATTAGCTTTCACGTCACAAGGTCCCCACTCATACGGACAGAAAACATGACAGATGCCAGCTACATACGCGCACGCCCCACTTCAGAAAGAATTACATCACCTCACCTCCAACCAGCAAGGTGGAATCGTCTGGAATATCCTTCACTGCTGACACGGGGTCATCATAGAACTTGGTTTGCCTCTGCACGCTGGTGGAGAACAAACAACTGCAGAACTGAACATCAGAAACAAATTACATCACATTTGGGTCTTCATCAGTAAGTAATCCTCCGGGACCCACGAGCTTGTTCCCAGCACAATCCAGCACCCAGACAACACACATTCAAAACACGTTCACTAATCTCCAAACCCTCTCACTAATATGGAGGTGAAGCTTAACTACAGCACTGTAATAATCCTCACACACCTTACTGTCACATTCATAGACAGGGTTAGATACAGAGGAAAGATCCCTCTGCAGTGTCCCCATGAAGTAAAACAGACAGTGATCACAACTGGTATAATCTCTGTCCACACAACCCAGTGTCTTTAGCAGTGTCATAGGATAATACTGGAGAAGTGGGTAAATTCTTGCCTTGATGTTGAATGATGCTGATTCATACACAAGTAACAGGGCAGGCTCTGCTAACCAGGACCAAGGCTGAGTTACACACTGAAGTCCCAGCACAGCATCCAACCTGCGACAGGACACTCGCCTAAGCCCCGAACCTCTCTCCCCCAGCCATGAACCTCTCTCCCTCCCTCACCCCATGCCCCTCTACCCTCACTCTCCAATTCTAGCCCCGCCCCCTCACCCCATTCCCCTCATCCTGAGCCCTCTTCCTCTCCCAGAGCCCCTTTTCCTCAGTCCTTGCTTCAGGAAAGTTAATGACTGCCTGAGTCCAGACATATTGGAGAGTTGTAGTCAGATACTGTGAGGTTATCAGACCCTTTTCGGCCTGCGGTGTGGCCCTGTGTACGACCACAGGCATGCAATGAAGCAATTTCAGAGTATAAACAAAAACACACATTTAGAGGGTGACATCAGAAGATAACATTGAAACACAATGACATACAGAAAACACAGACTGGAAACAGAGAAAACACATTACATCTTACTCACAAGCTATGTCCTGGGGGTTACCATGGACTAGAAACGGACCTGGACTCACCACATAAACAGCTGGTCAGAGGCTAGAATCTGTGAAAATTTCCTACCACCTCCTGACTCCCCAAAGTCTATCCGCCATGAGGTTGTAGACTTGCTGGCCGAGCCGGTGGGTTTGGTTGCAGACGTTTCGCCACTCTGCTAGGTAACATCGTCAGTGCGCCTCCGGTGAAACGTTGCTGTTCTGTCCTGCTTGGGGTGGTTGGTATTATTTCCGGTTCTGTTCTTCAACGTATTTTGGGTTCAGTTCAATGTGTTTGTTGGAGTTCCGGTTGGAACGCCAGGTCTCCAGGAATTCCCTAGCATGTCTCGGCTTGGCTCGTGCTATTATGGATGTGTTGTCCCAATTGAAAAACAACATCCTCACCAGAATAAAATTCACAAAAGAATGAAGAGAACAATAACTGACTACCCTTCCTAGACATCATGGCAGAACACAATAACAACGGGGAACTCCAGACTAGCTGATACAGAAAGGCCACACATACGGACCAGATACTTAATTATACCAGCAACCACCTCAACAACTATAAACGGAGCTGCATCAGGACATAATTCAAAAAAGCCACAACACGCTACAGCAACCTGGAATTGCGCAAAGCAGAACAGGAGCACTTATACGGAGTTTTTAAGAGGAATGGGTAACCAAAAAGCACAATCTGCTGTTACCTCCGTGACATACCACAGCAAGAAGACACAACATGGCCAGACACACTAGACACCCTACCGTACATCAGGGACATATCGGAGATGACCACAAGACTACTCAGGCCCTAGGTATCAGAGCAGCCCACTAACTAAAAATCATCCTGTGATAGCTACTGAAGAATATAAAAGGATCCCATACCTACAACCAGTAAAACTAACGTAATGTAATATACAAAATACCATGCAAGGACTTTGAGAAACATTACATAGGCCAAACTGGAAGAAAACTGACAATACAGATACATGAACACCACCTAGCCACCAAGAGACACGACCAATTCTCACTGGTCTCAGTACACATGGACAAATAAGGACATGAATTCGACTGGGACAACACATCCATAATAGCACGAGCCAAACAGAGACATGCTAGGGGATTCCTGGAGGCCTGGTATTCCATCCGGAACTCCAACAAACACATTGAACTGGACCCGACATACAAGTCATTGAAGAACAAAACCAGAACCACCCCAGCAATGAGGCATATAAACAAGTGGGACAGAACACCAACGCTTCACCGGAGGCACACTGACAAAACATCTGCAACTGAACACACCGGCTCAGTGAGCAAGTCTACAACCCGAGCTACAAATCTTCTCAAAAATACTTATCCACCATCTACAAGGCACAAGTCAGGAGTGTGATGGAATACTCCCCACTTGCCTGGATGGGTGCAGCTCCAACAACACTCTAGAAGTTTGACACCATCCAGGACAAAGCAGCCTCCCTGAGCTCACATACCGGAAATCAGATCCTGCCATTTCTGGAATCCTCATAGGCGTTAAAGATCTAATCAAAGTATACAAAATTCTCCAGGGAGACAGAAAGCACAGACCAGGTTTCTGTACTTAACAAGAATGACTATTTATTACAAGTCGGCTCTAGCTATAACCACTAGTTGACATGCTCATTCCCCTTATAAACCCACCAACCCTCCAGCGTACACAGAAAAAAAAACACTGGTTATGGGCAAAGGGAAAGACTGGGAACTTCGTTCAATGGACCCTGTCCACATCGTTCACTGAGAAGATCATTTTTTTTTAAAAATTGGGTCTGATTGGTCCTTGGTCTCTCTTCTCTGGGTATGTTCACTTGAATGCAGGAGGTACAGAGCGACTGGTTCACAAATTATGAAGTCTCTCATGAATTGGTTAAAAGCATCAGCTTACAACAGCTGGGGAAGGGTAATAAACTGGTTTGCTTCAGGCTTTTTTTTATTACTTCAGAGAGTTTTAAAGCTTTCTAACTATATTGTTCACATCCACAGGCTGCTAGCTACCTGGGAGCCAATCACAGTTGTTGTCAGGCAGAATTCCTTTGTCATGAACAACTGGTCACCAACCCACAGGCCAATCAGCTATGGTTGCCAAGGGAATTTCCCTTCTTCCCCAGCTTGTAGGTCCAGCTCATCTGCAGTAACTTCCTCCCCTACTGCATGACCAGCAGCTGTGTAAATTGCACTTAAACTAGTTCCCGGACCCTCAGTGTTTAAGGAAGTGCTGCTTCCTTATAGAAAGACAAGGGCAGCAGATACATGGGAACACCACCCTCTGCAAGTTCCCCTCCAAGTCACTCACCATCCTGACTTGGCAATATATAGCCATTCCTTAAGTGTCATTGGGTCAAAATCCTGGAATTCCCTCCCAAAGGGCATTGGGGTCTACCTACAGCACATGAACTACAGCAGTTCAAGAAGTCAGCTAACCCTCACCTTTTCAAGGGGCAACTAGGGATGAGCAATAAATGCTGCTCTGTCAAATACCTGTCACTATAAAGCACTTGAACAGAGTACTGGATTTGATTTGATTTATTTATTGTCACATCTACCCAAGTACAGTGGAAAACTTTTACGAGCAGTTCAGGCAGATCATTGTAAGCAAGGACATATAGATCATAGGGTTGAAAAAAAACACTTAGAGGCATACAGGGTGTGCATGAGGAGAGATCAATGTTAGCAAGATCAGCATCATTTGAAGTTAGAGAGTCCATTCGTCAGTCTGATAACAGCCGGGAAGAAGATGTTCCTGAACCTGCTGGTGCGTGTGTTCAGGTTTCTGCATCTTCTGTCTGATGGAAGAGGTTGTAGGAGATCATTACCGGGGTGCAATGGGACTTTGATGATGTTGGCAGCGAGCCATGTAAATGGAGTCCATGGATGGAAGGTTGGTTTCCATGATGGTCCGGGCTGTGCACACCACGTTCTGTAGTTTCTTACAGTCCTGGGCAGAGCAGTTTCCATTCCAGGCCATTATATACCCAGACAGTATGTTTTCAATGGTGCATCTGTAGAAGGTGGTGAGGGTCCTTATGGACATGGCAAATTTCCTGAGGAAGAAGAGGCATTGTTGTACCTTCTTGACCATCACATCTACATGGCAAGTCCAGGACAGGTTATCAGTTATTGTCACACTCCAAGGAACTCAACACTCTTCACCCTCTCAACCTCAGTTCCATTGATGTAGTTGGAGGGGTGTTCTGCTTTCTTTCTGAAGTTGATGATCAGTTCTTTAGTTTTGCTGACATTGAGAGACAGATTGTTCTCACTGCACCACGTCACCAAGCCCTCTATCTCCTTTCTCCATTCTGACTCATCATTGATAGATATCCGTCCTACCACAGTGGTGTTGTCAGCGAACTTGTAGGTGACACTCGTTCAGAATTTGGCCATAGTTGTGGGTGTACAGGGAGGACAGTAGGGGGCTGGGGATGCATCCTCGGGAGGCTCCAGTGTTGAGTGTTATAGTGGAGGAGGTGCAGTTACCTAGGCTGCAATCAGTGAGGATGTGGTCAGAAAGCGGAGACCAAGGTCACACAGTTTGGAGATCAGTCTGGATTAGGGGATCAGGGAATTATGGTGTTGAAGGGGGAGATGTAGTCAACAAGCGAGAGTCTGATGCAAGTGTCTTTGTTGTCCAGATGTTCCAAGGATGAGTGCAGAGCTAGGGATATGGCATCCTCTGTGGACCTGTTATGTCGGTATGCAATCGGGGCTAGCTGGGAAACTAGATGTGGGCTATGATCTGCCTCTCGAAGCACTTCATGATTATGGAGGTCAGATAGACTGGATGATAGTCCTTAAGGCATGTTGCATGTGCTTTCATTAGTAACAGGATGATAGTGGTCTTCTTGAAGCAGGTAGCAACTTTGGCTTGTAGGGGGAAAGAGACTGAAGCTGTCAGCAAATACCTCCACCAGCTGGTCCACACAGGATCCAGGGAATCAGTCCAGGCCTGTCCCTTTACTTGGGTTGACAAAAACAGATAAACATGGAACAGGAGACCATTCGGCCCTTCCAGCCTGTTCTGCCATTCAGTAAGATTGCGGCAACCTCAACTCAACTCTACATTCCTGCATTTCCCTAATAATCTTCCATCCCCTTGGTCATAAAGCATCCATTGCCTTTTGAGAAAGGGAATTCCGAAGAATCTCAACCATCCAAGAGAAAAAAAATAAAGTGTTTCTTCGTCTGTCTTAAATAGGCACCACCGCCCCCCCCTCATTTTTAGAAAGTGACCCCTCTTCCCTTCCCCTCCCACCCCGGTTCTAGATTCTCCAAAAGAGGAAACATCCTTCCCACACCCACCCAGTCAACTCCCTGCAAGATCTTATAAATTTCAAACCAAACATTAAAATCACAGCAGGTGTGCGGAGGTGGAGGGTGGGAGAACAGGGCTCTGTCTCACACCAGGGGTAGGGGAGGCTCTGTCAATATAACTCTGTCACCGTGTGGCACTTGCTGGGAGCTGCACAAGGTAAACGTTGAGAAGTGGGTATGATGTGTACACACAGTAATCTGTCTGATCTGCTGCCAATAAACTCTCAGGAATGGTTCCATGCCTAAATTTCCTGATCAGTCAAGAGTCTCTCAGGGCTGCCGCCAACAGGTCAAGGTGACAGGCTTTGTCCATCGTTTGCTGCCCTGTTTGACCCAGAACGAGGTTTTTATGGACACACCAGCTGCAGTAATCAATCCTAACAAGGCACACCGAGCTTGACAGGCACATCGTCCAACAGCATCCTCAGTGATCCCCGACACAGCCGAATACAGCCTGCCCATTACACAGCTCATCAGCATGTTTCACTACCACAGCTAGTGGCACCATGACAACTACTCAGTCAGGAGCTGCCAAATAGCCTGAAACAACTGAATAAAACAGGCTAAATTACACACTGATCACAATCTGAGGCAATAAAAGACAAACAGAACAGTGAAAGTCAATCCTTTCCAATTAGCTGTGTTCAAGTGAGATTGACATTACAGCACACAACTCAAAATTAGCGGTGATTGCTAGGACAGCACAGAGGGAGCTTTATTCTGTATCTCACCCTGTGCTGTCCCTGTCCTGGGAGTGTTTGATGGGGAGAGTGTAGAGGGAGATTTACTCTGTATCTAACCTGTATCACTGCATCAAGTGTCTCCCAAGACACTGTGGGAAGTTAGGGAGGAAATTGCAGGGTCCCTAGCAGAGAAATTTGTTTCATTGGCAGCTGCAAGTGGGGTGCCGGAAGACTGGCAGATGGCGAATGTGGTGCCATTTTTTAGGAAAGGCTGCCAGGAAAAGTCAGGGAACTGTAGGCCTGCGAGCCTAACATCAATGGTGAGTAATTTATTGGAGGGACAGGATCTACATGCATTTGGACAGGCAGCAATTGATTAGGGATAGTCAACATGGCTTTGTATGTGGGAAATTGAGACTCAATCAAGTTAGTGAGACATTTAAGAAGTTACCAAGAAGATAGATGAGGACGGAGCAATAGATGTTGTCTACATGGACTTCAGCAAGGCCTTCGACAAGGTTTTATGCACCATAGAAAGCATCTTACCCAGACTCATCACAGCTTGGTATGGCAATTACTCTGCCCAAGACCACAAGAAATTACAGAGTTGTGAACACAGCCCAGTCCATCACTTAAACCGGCCTTCCATCCTGTTCTGAAGCAGGGGCATCGGACCCGAAACGTTAACTTTTTTTTTTCCCTTCACAGATGCTGCCAGACCTGCTGAGCTTTTCCAGCAACTTTGTTTTTGTTCCATCCATTGACTCTGTCTGCACTTCCCGCTGCCTCAGGAAAGCAGCCAACATAATCAAAGACCACTGCCACCCTGGTGATACTCTCTGCCATTCAGCAGAAGATACAACAGTTTGAAAACACGTGCCAACAGATTCAAAAACAGGCCCTTCCCCGCTGTGATCAGACTTATGAACAGACCTCTTATATTAGAGTTGATCTTTCTCTGCATCTTCTCTGTAGCTGTTACATTACATTCTGATTTCTGCTTTATTACCCTAGTGTGCTTATGTAAGGTGTAATTTGCCTGAATAACACAAAACAATACTTTTCACTGTATCTCAGTACCTTTTTCAATCATAAATCACATCAAAAAGTATGCAAAAAAGACTTAAAAGGATATTACCAAGACTGGAGTACTTGAGCTGTAGAAAGAGGCTGAATTGGCTGGAGCTATTTTCCCTGCAGCATTGGGGACTGAGGTATGACCTTATTGAGGTTTATAAAATCATGAGGGGCAGAGATAAGGCAAATAGCCCAAGAATTTTTCCCAGCATAAGGGACTCCAAAACTAGAGGGCATTGAGTTAAGGTGACAGGTGAAAGATTTAAGAGGGACCTGAGAGGCAACTTTTTCCATGCAGAAGGTGGTGTGTACATGAAACAAGCTGCCAGAGGAAGTAGTAGAGGCCGGTACAATTAAAAGCCGTTTAGGTGGGTATAGGAAGGGTTTAGAGGGACCTGGGCCAAACGCAGGCAAACGGAACTGGATCAGTTTAGGAAACCTGGTCGGTATGGATGAGTTGGGCCAAACAGCCTGTTTCTGTGCTGTACAACTCCATGACTCTAACCCTGTCTGCACCTGTACTAGGAGTTTGATGGGGACAGTACAGAGAGCATCACTTTCCATTTAAAAGAGTAGAGAGTGCTTTACTCTGTATCTAACCCCATGGTGTCCCTGTTCTGGCAGTTTTGGTTGAACAGGTGGAGGAAGCTTTATTCTTTATCAAACCCCATGATGTCCCTGTTATTGGAGCAATAAGGACAGAGTCGATGCAGATTAAAAAACGTGTAGAGGGAGCTTTACGCTGTCTAACCCTATATGCAGTCCCTTTCCTGGCAGTTTTTGATGTGGACAGTGTTGAGGAGGCTTTACCTTCAGTTTAAAAAAAAGAGTAGAGAGAATTATCCAGGGAGTCCTAACAAAGTACAGTCTTGAGGTTAAGACGTCTGTCACATCAGTTCCATCCTGTTCCCTCCTCCAACTGAAACAGCTGGAACTTGCAGGAGGTGGAACACGTGCCCATGGAAATGGGACAGTGTGGAACAGGGTGCATGGCACAGTGAGACTGGGAGTGTTACATTAATCGGCCTGATTAAAGGCAACCTGCTTAAGAAGTTCATAAGTCAATAACACACACCACCCCCCTTCCAAATTCAAGGGAAACATAAGAATTCCAAACTTCAAATCAGAACCTTTCAAATCTGGAATGTTTGGCTTTGTCCTGGTGAGACACATCTCTCTGGGCTCCCAGTCTGTAAAGGAGGCTGTGGAATCCTGTTCAATCCGATCGAAAGGCAAGGCTTCAGTTTCACTGGAGGTGGCACTCGGAGAATGCAAACTCCAGACAGCAATGAAGTACTCTCTTGGTTTGGTATCACCAGCACACAGTGAAAGTCTCTGTTTACACTGTACAGAGTCTCCATTTAAACACAGTAAGGAGGAAAGGCCAAGACAGCAATCAGAGTGATGCCCAGATAGGGAGCTCCTGCCGTTCGACTGTTTATTCACTTATTCAGGGTGAGGAATGTCAGAAATGCAATCAGCAGAGCACATCTCGACGTTTAAGGCAGCAGGTGAGCATGTGACTGCATTGCTGATAAAAACTGGTTTTTACAGATTCACACTTCTGTTTAGTGATAGTCAGCATCACTGGAAACTGAAGTATTAACCTTGAATA